TTCCCCTTACCTATCCAGGATCTCCTACAAAGATCCTCTTCCAAGTGGTTGACAGTAGTAGCCGAGCACCAAAATGATGGTTCTTTTATTGGAGACTTAGTTTGATAGAGAAAACTGGGTTGAGAGATGCTTTGAGTGCTGGATCTTACCAGCCTCCCTGCCAGAAGAGAGCATGCAGCTTACCTTCCTTGAACAGTATAGGGAGTTCACTCCCTCACAAATTGTTCTGTTTCTTTTTTTTTAACCACATTGTTTATGTATTTTTAAAGATAAGTTTTTAAAAGTTTGAAACAGTCCAATTTACATAAAAGGTGGAAGTACAGTACAAAGAATTTTTTTCATAAACTGTTTTGAGAGTTAAATTGCCAGCCTAATGCAACCCTAAATACTTTGCCTGATTCCCTACAAACAAGAACATTTTCCCACTTAAATCATAATACAACCATCAAAATTGAGAAATTAACACTGATAATGGTATTTTCATCTACTCCTGAAACCCCATTCAGATTTTGCTGATTGTCTCAATAATGTCCCTTCTAGCAAAAGGATCTAGTTCAGAATCATACCATTACATTTAATTGTTAAGTCTCTGTAGTCTTCTTTTAAGGAGTCTTGGTAACACAACGGTTAAGCACTCAGCTACCAATCAGAAGGTTGGTGGCTTGAATGCCTACCTATTGGCTCCATGGGAGAAAGATTTGGTAATCTGTTCCCATAAAGATTACAGCCTAGAAAACCCTATGAGACAATTCTACTCTGTTAACATGGGGTTGCTGAGTTGAAATTGACTCAGTAGCACCTAACAACAACAGTCTCTTTCAGACTTTCCTCAGTAAATGTTCCTGGATGCATGACCTTGATACTTTTGAAGATGGCACACTTGTTATTGTGTAGACTGTCCTTCAATTAGAATCTGTCTAATACTTTCTCATGATTAGATTCAGATGGTACACCTGTGTTAGGAGTATCACAGAAGTGATACTTTATTTTTCTCATTGCATCCTATCAGGTGGTGCATGATTTTGATTGATCCCATTATTATTGTTGATGTTCATTTTGAATTTGTGATTAAGGTGGTATCTGCCAGGCTTCTCCATTGTAAATCTCTTCTCCTCTCCTTTCCCATCACAGTTCATATTTAATAAGCATTTTATATGGGGAGATATTTTGAAACTGTATTTCTCATCAAACTTTATTTGTTTAATCTTCATGAACTTGTTGTTGTTATGTGCTGTTGTGTCATCTCTGACACTTAGCGACCCTGTGTACAACAGAATGAAACACTGCCCGGTCCTGCCCCAGCCTCACAATCCTTGTTATACCTGAGCCCAGTATTATAGCCACTGTGTCAGTCTATTTTGTTGAGGGCCTTCGCCTTTTTTGCTGACCCTCTACTTATTCAGTGCATTATAATCCATTACAATCATTATTTACCTTAGTGTTCAAATTGTTCCCTGTTTGCCTAGCGGGAGTCTTGTCAGGCTGGTTTCTGTGTTCTTTTGACATGCTCCCATCATTCTTTGAGCACTTCCTTGCTTTCTGGCACAAGATGTTCCAGGCTAACTTTGTACTGTCCCTGCCATAGATCTGGAATAAGCCATTTCTCCAAGGAGCCCTGGTTCTTTTTAATGGAGAAAGTTGTTTAGAAGGTCAGATCTGGGTCCTAGGTGTACTAATTGCTATTGTAATGTGGTGCTCTCAGATCACATTGATGAAAGCCGCTGTTGTTGTTACCTAGATATAACTAGAAAATATATATGCATGTGTGTATATATTTATATATAAATGTATGTGCATGATATCTATACTCACATTTACATGTATATTTATATATCTTATTATATTAGAAACCATGAGTTCATATTGTTGATTTCAATTCCAGTGTACTCACATAGACTGGAATTTTCTATTTCTCCTTTCCCTGACAGAAACCTGGTTCCTATTATCCTTAATATATCTACTTCTTTGATTAGTCCCCTTGCATGTAAACTAATTTTCCTTTGTTGCCATTGCCGTTTTCTCCCATGGGTGCCTTTTTACCGTGCTCAGGACACCCCATGTAAAACTTCCCCTATATGGATTCCCTCATCACTCCCTTGGATTCTGACACATCTCCTGCTTTTTCATGGTTTCCCTCCTCTCCCTGCTTGGATTCTGATATTCCCCCTTCTGGTTCCTCCCAGTCCATTTGGTGTAGACACTTATGTTGCTCTTCTGCACCTAATGGCTTTAGGTTTGACTTACTCAGGAAGGGAAGAGGAAGGAGCTGCCTGCTGTTTCTTGACTTGAGCTGAACTTGGTTGTTAGAAGTAAGAGAGGTAAAGAACCCAGTTGCTGACATGTGGAGGCCTTGTACCCTAATGTCTATTCTCCAAATTTCTTATAGGAGAGACTTTTTGATGTGGGTGAAATAAAGTGAGAAAGTGACATTTGTAAGCAAGAGGACTTCTGGTCATGAATGTGTTATCCATGGGAGGGGTTAGGGTATATATAGTATGTTACATGGGAGGGCCAGAGCGTTCTAAGGATGCTCTGAGTATGCTTTATGAATTAGTTGGATTTATGGGCCCACAGTGAGCAATGCCAGATACTGCTATAAGGGTGTTACATGTGTCATCTTATTCTCAAGGAGTAGGTACAATCATTATTGTCAGTTTACAGGTGAGGAATTGAGGAACAGAGCTTGCCCACAGTGCCATGGCACAAAGGCAAAAGTCAAACCTGGAAGCTCTCCTTAATCATGACACTTACCTGAAATATTTGGCAGATGGGGTCTGGTTGACTATATATACTATTTACATGCATTGAAGAACATTAAAACCTGCAAAAGCTCTTATGTGTAGCCTGACTGCAGAATGTTAGAGAAGAATTTTAAGGGCCTCAGAGACTTAACTAGATTGGGAAATTTGTGCAGACTGGTGTCTCCCACCCTGCAAGGCTTCCACTACTACTGTTCAGGAGTGGGTGATATGAAGAGTTATGTTGAATCCAGGCTTTGAAAAGGATATTGGCACTTTACCCTTTCCAAAGGATTCCATAGTGAAACTCAAGCCAACCTTTGCCTACCCTGGGCTGAGAAATTTTAGTTGCATTTTTGGAGAGGTTATAAAGCAGTGTTGAAAACAATTTCTGCAGTTGTGTAGGATCCACGAAGAACTTAAAACGCTTTTTGGTCTTAACACCACTGAGTCCCCATAGAATTTCGCTATAACCAAACCCAACCCACTGCCATAGAGTCGATTCCAATTCTTAGTGACTCTATTGGATAAAGTAGAATTGTCCCATAGGATTTCCAAGACTGTAAATCTTTTTTTTTTTTTTTTAATTTTTACTGTGATTTGGGTGAAAGTTTACAAAGCAAATAGATTCTCCATATAGCAGTTCATACACATTTTGTTTCATGATATTGACTTTAATTCCCCATAGGGTAACACTTCCTCCTCATAGTTACTTCTTCTCTGTGTCCTCTCCCCTGCACTCCTGCCAACCCCCCCCCCCCAGCTGTCTCCCTGTGCAAACACTGCCCTTCTCTTCTCCCATGATTGATGAAGGTTGTAAATCTTAAGGGAAGCAGACTGCCTCATCTTTGTCCCATGGGGCCTCAGTGAGTTCGAACCTCTGACCTTTTAGTTAGCAGCTGAATGCCTTAACCACTGTGCCACCAAAGCTTCTTGAATCTTACTATAAGGATAGAGAAATTGAGGCCCCACACTAGCATGTAGCCTAAGTTATTGCTGTTCATTCAGTGAGTCTGGAAGGGCTGGGAAGAGACGTGATACTTGATTTTGCCCTTGTCTGCTGAGGTAGTAGTGACCTTATTGCCTCGGAATATGCTGTGGGCTTCACAGTATACTGTCCCTTCTACCATACACAAGGGGAGCTGGGCACCCGCTTGAAGCCATTCAGAGGCACACTTTTGACTCTTGTGAGGGGGCTTTAGAAGGCATAAACTATGACTATTTCTGTTTTGAGCACTGAGGTTTCTTGTCTTTGAGGATTAAAGTTGAGGGACATTGAGTGTTGTATATAAAGGGAAAAACGCAGAGTTTCTGCTTTGTTCCTATATTTTTTTTAGGAAGCTTGAGTTATTTGTGAGTAAAACTTTAGACTTTGATTTTATTATTTAGTCAGTCCTCTGAGGAGCAGACATTCTACAATTTAAAGGGAAAACTGTTCAAGGAAAAGTGATTCAAACTTTTTTTGTGTGCACATGTTCACTCAGAAAACTTTACTAGACTTATAGCCATGCTCCCATTACTGCCACATCTGGGTTTTCCCTTTTTCTTCCCTATTTAAAAAAAATCCCCGCAATCATCCAGGGCCTCTACCAGTGAGTGAGTCTAAAGGCGGCCAGTGGGACGGCCTAAGGCTGTTGCCAGCTGTGCTCTTCAGGCATTGTTCATTCCCCCAGGGTGCCACTCACTAGTGTGGGGGTTGGGGAATCACCAGAATAACTTGAGCAAACTCCTCTGTGATTGGTTTTGTTCAGTTTCTTGTTAGGGGAGGAGGGTATGTGGAGATATCAAGGTGCGGACAGGAAAGCCAGGGGCAAATGGCTCAAAACGGAGCAAGGGGTATTTTCCATTGTTAAGTCTGAATCTACTTAGCTCCCAGGATTGATAGTCTAACTGGGTCACCTCATGCTACGTTGGAACCCTTAACTGTTGCCACCTGATAAGTGACCACAGAATTTCTTTCTCTTTTCTCTCTTGAACTTTAAAGCTCCACTTAAAGATGAAGACCAGTTGCATGTTGTTTTGAGAATGATCTTTGAGACTTAGAGCTGTAATAATGCTGCAGGTGCCGGTATTAGGGTCTTGAACTTCAGTAATGAATACTGTGATTTAGAAAAGGGGCCCAGAAACTGGGCAGTGGTTCATGTTGTGTGATTATTCCTCAAGATTGGGTGGAACCAGGGCCACAGTGGGAGGGGAGTAACCCAGGCTCTCTCTCTCTCTCTCTCTCTCTCTTTTTTTTTTTTTTAACTTTCCTCCCCTAAGTTTTAGATGCTTCTGGATGTTCAATGCTAGCACCTTTACAGACTGGAGCAGCTCGATTTTCTTCATATTTACTTTCAAGAGCAAGAAAAGTGCTGGGCTCCCACTTATTTTCTCCCTGTGGTGTTCCGGAGTTCTGCTCCATATCCACCAGAAAGCTGGCGGCCCACGGCTTTGGCGCATCCATGGCGGCAATGGTGTCCTTCCCTCCCCAGAGGTATCACTACTTTTTAGTGCTGGACTTTGAGGCCACGTGTGACAAGCCACAGATCCATCCTCAGGTAACTGCTGCATCATTGATTGAGAAAAGGTGGGGTGGGCAAGGAGGGAGGGAGGATAATCTTGCTTCCTAGGACCCAGAGGTGTTTTCTCATGTTCTGGCTTTCTGCTATTCATCTGGAGGTCCTGTCTTGGAAGTAGGACTTGATTCAGGCAGGCTAGGGTAAGGTAAGGAGCTCTGGTAGCATAGTGCCTAAGGCACTTGACTGCTAACCAGAAGGCTGGTGGTTCAAACCTACCAGCCACTCCTCGGAAGGAAGGTTGGGAAATCCTACTTCCGTAGTGATACTGCCTCGGAAACCCAAGGAGGGGTCACTATGAGTTGGGGCCGACTCGACGGCAAACAACAACAACACAACAACAGGGTAAGGTAGACCTGAGAAGTGGTCTCTTGGGAGAATTGGGCATGTTTTTCTCTCGGGTCTCAGCTTTGCTGTCAAAATATTTTCTTCTCTTTTTCCTCTCTTTTTTTTCCCCCCTCCCTCCCTTTTTTGCTGCTGCTACTGCTGCTACTGCTTTTTTTTTTTTTTTTTTTAAATGAGTTATGTGGTAGTCAGCTCCAAGATGACCCCTCGTGATCTCTGCCTCCTGGTACTTATACCCATGGTAGTCCCCTCTTACACTGAATCAGAGCTAGCCTTGTGTAACCAATAGAATATAGTAGAAGAGACAGTGTGTGACTTCTGAGGCTAAGTCATAAAAGGCATTGCTGTCCTGCTTGCTCTTTTGGATTACTTGCTGTGGGGGATCCCAGCCGCCATGCTACGAGGAGGCTCAAGCAACCCAGTGGAGAGGCACATGTGTATAGAAACTGACTTCTGGCCCAAAGCCAACATCGTTTTGCCAGCCGTCTGAGTGAGCTATCTTGGAAGTGAACCTTCCAGCTCTAGCAAGCTTCCAGATGATTGCAGCCTCAGTGGAAATCCAGCTTCAACCACAGAAGAGACTCTGAGGCTGAACTAGCTAATCCAGTGACTCCTGAATTCCTGACTCGCAGAAACCATGAAAGATAATAACTGATTATTGTTTCAAGCCACTCAGTTTTGGTATGATTTGTTATATAGCATTTGATAACATGAATGAGCATCATTGTTGGCCCACTGGAAAGGAAAATTTCTTTGCTGGATTTTTTTTTTTCTTCTTTTAGCCAGCTGTGTTCAAAAACCTTTGACTTTTTAAGGTAGTGCCACTAGGGAGCCTGGACTAGCAGTAATGAAGCACATAGACTGCTATGCTAATTGATGTTAGAGTGCTTGGTGTTTGCTTTGGGGGACTGTTTGGGGCTGATGTGGCTGTTCATTACAGTGCATGGGCCTTGAGTATGCCTGACTGTAGATGTGTAATCTTCCCTGTGGGGCTGGGTTAGCAGGGTGTGTAACTTTGGGATGCATAGACATGTTGCTCTGGGAGCGTCTTTGAATTGACAGTAAGCAGAAGGAGATAAAAAGGGCTTCTGCATCAGCTACTGAGAAGCAGGGAGGAATGAGGCTCATTCAGAGATAAACTGGGCTCATTTCTCATGGCTGTTTTTTTTCAGGGTCTATCTTTAGAATGGTAGTTTATTTTACATAAAGCAGACACTAACCCCTTTACCTTTTCTAGTCCTTTGCCTTTACCACTTTCTCGTCCCCTCTTTACAATAGGAAAAGCAGTGGTCTGGCTTTAGGGCACTGGAATCAGGCCCACTGAGGGTTGGGAAAGTAGGAGCCAGATAAACAGAATGTTCTAAGGGAAGGAACTTTAGATGGAAAGGAATGCTACTTGTGAGCTAGCTACCTTAGCCACACTTCCTTTCTCTGCCTCTTGCTCTTGTCCCTTCTGTAGAATGTTCTCTGTCTTCCAAACTGCTGGACTTCCTCCTGGCATGGTGGGTGTGCCTGGGTAGTAGCTTGGAAACTTTGATTATGCAGATTATCCCAGAATGGGAATCAGGGATCCATATCCTAATATGCCACATTATTTCCCTACTGTTGTAGATTTTAGTCACTGAGTAAATTCCAGTAGGACCTGAGTCTAAAGCCCAGTACATCCCTGTTGCACATGAGTCATCCCTCTTCTGAACACTCATGATTGCTTGACACCTCCTTTATGGCATTTACTACTTTCTGCCTCCTGACCCACATTTATGTATATTTTCTTTTCAGTTAGACTGTAAACTCAGATAATTATGTAGGTCTGTTCTTTTGTCCTGCAGAGGGTCCTGCTATTGTTCCTGAGGTTTTAGCCTGATTCATGTCTCAGTTTGGTCTGTTAATATCACCTTCATCTGTCCTTCAAGGGCATTGTTTTTTTTTGCAATGCTTAAAACATAATGGACTACAGATTTCAATCAATTGTATCACCAGCTTCCCTCCCAGACCTAGGCACCAAGGTCTTCTAGACACAGGCTGTGGTAGAGCTTTATACTGTTTACTAGGATCTGGGCCTGATTAAAGATTATCTCCAGAATCAATGAACCCTGATGATGTGATTCCAAGGGCACTTAAGGAATTGGCTGCCCTGGTTCATTATTAGCAAAGCATTAGCTGTTGCTTTAGAGAACTCGGAAGAGGCATTTGCTGTGTTGCTTATCTTTAAAAGGGGAATACGAATGATCTGGGAAATTATAGACCCGTTAGTTTACTGTGATTCCAGAGAAGATACTTGACCTGATCGTCAGATAATCAATCAGCAAACAGCTAGAAGAGCATAGGGTACTGAGTAATAACTTACATGGGTTTGTGAAGAAGAGCAAATCCTGTCAGATCAATCTAACTTCTTGCTGTGACATAGTGATGGATTTGAGTGGCTCTAAGCCAGGTGATAAATGTAATGCATCTTGACTTCATTAAGCCTCCACAATGCTGTGATCAACAGGTAGGAAGGTGAGTTTGAGGCTAGACATCTATGTTGGACTGCCCATTGGACCACCCTTAAGAAAGGGATTGGCAGAGCAGGAGTGACTTGAGAAACCTGTTGTTAGTGGCATCTTAAAGCTTCTTCCTCCTCCTCTTTTTTTCCCCCTTTCTTTAAAGTTTGCAGAGCAGGATCCTGGTGGAATTCAGAGAAACATTGGAAGATGTATTGAAGAAGTCATCAGTTGCACAAATGGAATGGCTTTAACAAACAGGAGTTTATTCTTATAATTTGGAGACTTTGAGTCCAAGTTCAAAGTGCCAGGCTCTAGGGGCTGGGTGAAAGCCCCTCAACGTTGGGCTTCAGCTCTGCCTCCTGCTCCCAGCCCACTGAAGCTGGAGGCTTTTATTCACTCAGACAGCTGCTGGCTGCTGAGGCTGACAAGCCCAAGGTTGACAAGTAAAAAGGCACAGTCCTAATGGTACCAAACAACATGGCAGGCCACTAATTCAAGTCCACATGAAGTCCCAAGATCGGCAGGGTATGGCAGGCTGTTGAACAACGACTTGGCAGAGTTCAAGTGTGCCAAAAGGCTAGAGACTATTCCCAAGGTTTCTTCTTTTATGTAGGAAGCAGACCAAATCCCCAAGGCAGCTTACTCAGCTGCTCACAGTAGATTCCACCATGGAGTTGATTACCAGTCTCATCATGGGGAATACTACATCCAGCTGCCCAGCTACTCAGCCAGCCCCAGCCAAGGTGACACACAAACTTAACTACCACATAGCCTCTGTGTGTTTAGCTCTTCTGCTCAAGAAGCGAAGAAAGATACAATGAAGAAATTGGAAAAGCTCAGGATAAGAGTAACAGAAATGAATGGAGGAACAAAAATAGGACTTGGAGATACAGAAAAGAAATTAGAGACTGATTTCTTGTCCAGGCTAAATAAATGCATGTGGAAAATAATTATTCTAAGGAGTATGATAATAACTTGCTTTTCATTTTACTAATGACAAAAAAGAAGTGAATTAAAATTGAAAGAGGAAGGATTGAGATTTAGGGGTGAGAATGAACTTCCAGAAGAGATATTTGTAAAAAGGGCTGGAATATGGTGTGCAAGTTAGAGTCTCCTTCCCTACTGTTCTCAGAATGGCTCAGTGGCTGTCTGCTTGGCAGAGATTCGTTATGGGTAAGATCTGCATGTTTCTGGGTGCATTTGGGATTATGAATTGGAATCATCCCAGCTTCCATCTTCCAAGTCCCTGAGGCTTTAGTACTAGAGGCCTGTGTACTTCAGATTCTTTTTTTGTTTGTTTGTTTAATTATGATGTGGGTGAAACTTTACAGAGCAAATTAGTTTTCCCTTCAGTAGTTCATACACATTTTGTTTCGTGACATTGATTGCAATCCCCAAAATGTAACAGCTTTCTTCCCATATCCTCCCTGTGGTACACTTCTGATACTTAAGGGAGTGTGTCACACTCCTAAGGTGTGTAGGGGCAGAAACAAGTTTCAGGCCAGGCCCTGTCTGGAGGCTTGGCCTGGGACTTACTTCTCTCATCTGTGTCTAGTTTTCCGAAGTCCCTGAGTGAGCTTATTAGGACTATCCTAAAGGAATGCCATCATGAAAAACTAACAGGTGTAGCTTTGTTGTACTTGGGTGAGTATTGGTTATAAACATGGTAAAACATCTGGTATTTTCCGTTTATCATCATTTTTGCTGTTTATTTTTGTACTTTGTTCAGCTAGATGAAACTGGAGTGGTCGGTTTGCCAGTAATAGGCTTTTGCGTTCTGGTGTTTTGATTTGTTTTACATGTTTCGATTCAGCCTAACATGGTTAGGTATTGGTTGAAAATGACACTCTTTCATTTGAAAATATTTTCACTTAAATGTTAATTTAAGTGGTTTAATATTTTAGGGACTCTAGATTTGAAGAATATGAGTCCTTTCTTGTTTAAGGAATTGTTCCCTAATACAGAAGGAGATCTTATCTGGTCTAGGAGAACATGGCTTCTCTGTCCTCGCATCTTGCTCATTTTGGTGCGGATGTGCATCGGATGATGGTTGTTGTGACCCTGAGGCCCGGGGAGCAGCCTGAAAGCGTTGGTTGGATCTTTAATTGTGCACCTTTAACCTGGGGGCAAGTTCTTTCTCCACCTCAGTGT